TTAGGGCTTAGGGTTTAGGGCCCAGGGAAGGCTTAGGATATGGGTAGTTTTCTAAATTAGGGTCCCTTTTCGGGGATCCTCTTTAGAAGAGTGCCGTACTATTTTGGTGACCTAAAAGAGGACCCGAATGTAGAGTACTACCCATATACAGGTTTGATGTTGTCTTAGGGTTTAGGATTTAGGGTTGAGGAGTTAGGATTCAGGTTCTATAGCGTCTAGTAGGGTTCAGGATTTAGGATGCGGGGTTTATATTGTTTAGGATTTTAGGATTTGGGGCTTAGGATTAAGGATATACGCTATAGGGTTTACCTGTGAACCCTCAAAATGACCTGAACATGTTGAGCTTCCAAGGATCCTTACCATGATTACCTTGTTTTCGATTTTAGGGTATAGGGGTGTGAAGGATATAGGGTTTAGGGTTTTGGGTTTGGGATAAGGAATTTAGAAGTTAGCGTTTGTGGTAGGATACCGGGTTTAGGGTTTGGGTTATAGGGTTCGGAGTTTGCGATTTAGTGTTTAGGATGTAGGGTTTAGGGTTTAGTTTGTTGGAGGTTGTCCCGGATTCTTAGCTGGTTTTGGGTTTTGAGATTTGTCCAGGCCTCAAGATTGCCGTGTTTACCAGGTTTGCCTCAAGGACCAAGACCCCAAACCCTAAACCCTGAACCGTCGAGCTTTCAAGCTCGTTCTCAGCCACCTACGTGAACTCATCAGAAATGGCTCCGAACCCAAAGCCCCACACCAGCCCCAGCCCGACCCACTAATCTTGGGGCCTCAATAATTACCTATACTAGTTTTTTTTGGGTGGGTTCCTTAGTATTCATAGTATAAGATACCCCAAAACCCTATTCTAAGTATTAAGGCCCCTGCACTACAGCTTTGAGTGGTGGTTTTGGAGTTTGGGGTTTACCGAAGGGTTTGGAGTTTAGGGTTCAGTTTTCTACTTTTTTTAGTTTTTTCATGTTGGGTGGTTTTCGGGCTTTCGGGGATTGGGGTTTTACGATTTGTAAGGTTTCGGAGTTAAGAATCCTAAACCCTAAACCCCTAACCCCTAAACCCTAAACCCTAAAACCCTAAAACCCTAAAACCCTAAACCCTAAACTTATAGGGTTTAGGGTATTTTGGTGGTAACAAACCCAGGGTCCTGATCAGGGAGGCCCTGAGTTTGCCAGGCTGCCTGGGTGCTGATAAGGTATCCCAGTAGCTTCCAAGGTTTCGGAGGAGTTTAGGGTTTAGGAGTTTAGGGTTTAGGAGTTTAGGGTTTAGGAGTTTAGGGTTTAGGGTTGAGGGTTTCGGGTTTTTGGGTTCTGGGAACAGGGTTTAGGAAAGTTCCGGCAGCGAGCCCAGTCCTGTTTCAGGCGAATCGGACCTAGAAGGGCAAGGGGCGAGCGAAAGCGCCGCTACCGTACGAAGCCGCTGTCTAGATGGACGGTCTTTGTGGACTCCGGGAACTGTGCAACAGATCAGGGTTTCGGGTTTAGGGTTTAGGGTTTAGGGTTTATGACTTCATCGACAATTTCCTGGATGTTGCTGATACTTGGGCCGCTGGTCAGGGCCTGAAGTTTCTGTGATGGCACATTGCCCTAACCTCCCAGGTACCTACTATATGGGGCCCTGGGGGCTCTAGTACCCTATATAGTAGGTACCTGGGGGGTTAGGGTTGCCTCAGTCCTGGATGTCGATTTCTCACCACATCTCCACGAGAGTGGATTCTGGATCCCTCTGACACTTGGAGTTGAAGCTTGCCTGAAGAAGAGATAGAAAGTTCTCTAAATTAGGGTCCCTTTCGGAGTCTTTTTATAAGGGTGCCGTACTATATTGGGGACCGAAAAAGGGACCTTAATTCAGAGAACTACCCAAATGGTGTTGCAGAACGATTTTTCACCTGCAGTTACCCGATAGAGTTTAGGGTTCAGGGGGGGTTTAGGGGTTTAGGGGTCGGAGTTTTCGGGTTAAAGATGCAGGGTTGTGCTAACTAGGGTCTATACCAACCGGGTTTTAGGGTTTAGGGTTCTACAGGGCTTCAGGGCTTATAAGGGGCTGGGGAGGCTGAGCGAGACGCAAGCCACTGAACCCACAGGACCATTGCCCACAGACTTGCGAGTTGCTAGCGTTGCTTCTGTTAATCATCCCTATACCATAAACCCTAAACCCTGAGCCCTCAACCCTAAACCCTAAACCCTAATTGTGTGTGTGTGTGTTGTTCTTGACAACCGAGGGTCGAAAGTATTCGAGCTGACTCAAACACCCGAAGCTCTAACCGGTTTAGGATTCTGCAAGCAGCACCCCCAAAAAGACTAAACCCTAAGCCCTAAGCCCTAAACCTAAACTCCAAACTTTAACCTAAACTATAAGCCGGATAACCCCAAAAACTAAGCCTTCAACCTGAACTCGTGGCGCAGCCTGGTGTCCACTCCGAGGATTCTGCTCCTCCCGAGCCGGACGTCGACGAGACGGTGATGCAGCCGGAGAGCTAGCATAGCGGTTTGAATGATTTGGCTTTAGGGTTTGAATAAATTCGGGTTTAGGGTTTATAAGATAACACACCCTACAGGGCTGCTGCTTAATTACTTAGCAGGTTACTAGCCAGTTATTCTGTATGCCAGCAACCTAAACAATTAGGTGACTGGAGCCCTGCCCTAGTGACATGGGCTTGAAGAATTGGAACAAAAGAAATCCTCCGCCACAGACTACGTAGAGTCCCTCATGTAGTTATAGTCTCGTAATACAGCACAGCATAACTCAGTGTCAAGCATAAATTTTCCAATCCTTGCAGGGATCCCAGGACTCCCTAAGCCCTACATCGCATCTATCCGCCAGGGTTTGGGGTTTAAGGGTTTAGGGTTTAGGGTTTAGGGCGCATCTATCCGCCATACTCTTTCCAAGACCGGTGGTCACGAGTCCATCTCCATGGGGTGACAAGGGCACTGTGAAGCTCTCATTGCCGAACATGAAAGGCTCCTTAGGCTCCTTTCTGGTTCTTTGTCCAAAAATCCAGAACCCTGTAAATTCAAGACCTGCGTCATCTTTCTGGTAAGGTCGCTGCGGTCGGACTATTCCTGAGGGCTCGTTTTATATAATGACAGTCTAAGTTGCCCCTTAAGCCTATTCTACTTAATATGGCCCCTATCTTGTGGAAGATTTCCGCCCCTTTAGGTGGCGATGTCCCCACCGTCTCTTGCCCAAAGATTAACGGTCTTGAAGGCCTGCGGTCGAATATGCGGGCCTGCAGAAGCACCTAAACTATTCGGTGGGGGTCCTCATAACTATACTACCATATTATTGTACTACTATGCTACCATACTACTATGCTGCTATACGACTATACTACTATACTACTATACGACAATACTACCATACCTACCATAATGCATCCCCAAACCCTGGTCTAATTCTTCAGCTCCCTCTTCTAGACCCTGGAGTTCGGGAAGTGCTCTTCTACTGTGTGCTCTTACTGTCTCTGAATGCATGAAGAAGGGCTTGGGGTTTAGGGCTTATAGGGCTTAGGGTTTAGGGCTTAGGGCTTAGGGCTTAGGGCTTAGGGTTTAGGGTATAGGGTTTAAGGCACCCTTCTCAATGTCTGCATACAGCGCCCCTTTCGTCGCAGCGGCACTAGTAGTCGTAGTAAGCATTTAATCATCCTCTCAGCCTATTACATTCTTTGTTAGCCCTATCCTCAAGCCTGAAGCTCCGCGTCTTAAGCCGCAAAGGATAGACCACAATAGCGCCGCCTAGACTCCTCTATGCGCTGCGTAGGAGCTCCCGAAGGAGTTCGTGCCAGCCAGGGTAGGCACGATTTTCGGATCACGTGCAGTTTCGGATTCAGGGGTTGATACACGGGCCTTCATTATAGTATAATACACCCCCAAACCCTCTTCTAATTATTAAGGCCCCTTCTTATAGAACCCCTTATAGTAAGCGTTAGTAACCCTAGGCCCTAGTCTACTTATTCAGGCCCCTACATTAGGGTTTACGGAGGTTTCGGATTCAAGCGAGTTGGGCCCCACCGCGAAAATCAATTCGGAAGCCTCAACCCAACTCGGAAACAGTGGTTTAGGGTTTAGGGTTCCTACTTAGGCCGACGTTGAAGCACGTAGGGATGTCAGGGTATGTTGCATTGGTTTAGAGCTGTGTTGTATCCCGTGAGTTGGTCCACCTGCTGGGGATTTGAGGCTCCTGGTTAATTTAAATGGGCGTCTACAGTATTGAAGGGCTGCAGCGATGCCGTTGCACTCGATCTCGGGTCCATAAGGATGACAGGCCGATAAGTGAGTTTTGATCGCCCTCCCCCAACTTAACCTCCAACTGTCTTTTTGTTGAGCAACCCTTGCGTCGACCAAGCCCCGTTTTCCCCTAAATCTAAACTGCAAGCCTTGAAGACTTCCCGAGGTTTCGGCAGTAGGAGAGGAGTTGATCCGCGAGTTTGCGGCTCCTTAGTCCTAAGGGGTCCTGAGCAGCAGGAGCTCCGACATTGGGGCTTCAGGCTTAGAGTCTTGGGTTGAATGATCTACTCAAAAAATAACAGCAGCAACAGCAGAGATCATGATAAGTGGCCATCAGCACCATCATCCTCGTCCTCGTTATCGTCATCATGGGCATCGTCATACTGGGAACAGAACTGACCAGCAACAGGATGCATCGGAGCAGTGCCAGCTCTGCCTGCTGCAGGCTTGATTTTTCATGGGGTTCAGGGCTGAGACCATGTGCCGGCAAGCCCCAGATGTCCCCAGCGCCCCAGACCTCTCGCCTCACCCACAGCCGAAGAGGTTAAAGACCTCAGTGAACCCGAAGATTCGACTCAAAAAATGCCAAAGCCCTAGGCCTGAACCTGTAGCCCAGAACGTCAGCAGGCCGGCCGGTGATACCCAAGATCGCTGGCATCAGCCGCCGAGTGACAGCCTCGGCATTTGTATGTTGGGGTTACAAGGAGGGTAACAGCACAAATCAGCACAATATATCATGTTTGATCATTGCAACCGCAGCAGCGCCCGCTAATTTGTCCTCCTCATTCCTGCTGCTGCTTCTGCCACTGCCGCTGCTGCTGCGATCTGCTATCTACCGGCAATACCAGCTCTGAATCAAGCCGAGACATGCAAAACGACAGTCCAGATCTGTGGACTGGGAACTCAGGTGTTTGGGGCCAACCCGTGAATAAAAGCCTCCACGACGCCTAAGCCTAAGCCCTTAACACGATTGCCTGCAACTGAAGCCTATTCCAGAGCTCTTGAAACTTATCTCTCTGGGGATCTTCTGGGGTTCAGGGTTCCAGGGGTCCTTGTTCTTGGAAGCTCCCCTGGTTCAGAGTACCATCTTATAGACTTTAGCATCTTCCATACTATACGGACCTCAGCAATTACCTAGACTGTCTTTGGGGTTCCTTACTATATGTATATAGTATAATATACCCCTAAAACCCTCTTCTAATTATTGAGGCCCTTACATTACGAAACCCCTTATAGTATCAGTAACCCTTCTAGGACCCCTTTAAAGGAAACCCTATTCTAAATATTAAGGCCCCTACATTACCATCCTAAAGACTTGCAATGTCAAGCATACCCTAAGACAGTTCCTCCAATGCAATATTAATGGCAACATTAACAAACAGCGATGATAAGAGATGTCCTAAAGACTTTTAGTATCTTCCATAGCCAGCAGACCGAAGGCTTTGAGCCTCAGAGCCTCTAAAACATTCAAACCTCAGACCCCCAAAACCCCAAACACCACTGCAGCCCTTAAAGGGTTTAGGGTTTAGGGTGTAGGGTTTAGGGTGTAGGGTTTAGGGTTTAGGGTGTAATTAGGGTTTAGGGATCCCTCCAAGGTCAGCCTAGAAGAACCCGAAAATTAAGAAAGCCTAAAGGAACCCCTGATAGCAATCAACCCTTACATCAAAATCTCGATTTTAGCAGCCATATCCCCTACGCCCTAAACCCTACCCTAAACCCTGAATCCTCAAACCCTGACACCCCTAGAGCCCGAAACTCTAAACTCCTCTGAAGCACATCTTACCTGAAGCTTCGAAAGCCCTAAAGCCCTAGAGGCCTCAAGTCTAAAGCCTTGCACCCAATATTCGGGGTTTAGGGTATAGGGTATAGGGTTTAGAGTTTAGGGTATAGGGTTTAGGGTTTAGGGTGTAGGGTTTAGGGTTTAGGGTTTAGGGAACCCTAAACCCCTGAACCCTAAACCGTTTTAAGCGCACCCCAACGGTCCTGCCGTCCTTGTGTCAGCCGGAGCCCCTGGACACGGTGGATCCTGAGTCTGGGCCGTGGGCAGATGGAACTCGGGGTTCAGGGCTCCTTGACCCCAAACCCTAAACCTAAACCCTAAACCCTAAACTCTAAACCCTAAACCCTAAACCCTAAGGATTTAGACTCCGGAAAGGGCTCCTTAACCCTAAATCCTAGAGCTTTAAACCTAAAGGATTAAGGGAATAACAAGGGTTGTAGAGGGCGTGAGGACTTCTCGGGGTTCTAGGGTTTGCAGGTTTTGCATTTTAGGGTTTATGAGTAGCATGCTTCTGCTTGTATCGGGTTAAGTGGGTTCTGAAGGCTGCGCGGCTTTGTTTTGTAAACTTTTAACGGGTTTGGACTACCGGGATGTAAGAGGCTTTTTTGGACTGTAGGGATTTACAAGCGTTTGTGCAGGACGTAGGTTAAGTATTTGGGGGCTTGCGTAGGAACCTGACTGAGAAACCCTGGCCGTATAACCCCCTGAAAATTAGGATCCATATAAAGAGGCCCTAATAAGGACCCTGGGTTTCTTAATCAGGTTCCTATTAAAGTTGCTGTATTAGTATTAGTGTCTGGCAATGGGGTTTGGGGTGGCAGAGAGTTCACGATGTTTCAGATGGTTTTACTTTGCGGGGGTCCTTTCTTGCTTGATGAAACTCACGGATGAGCGTGAGATTGAGACTACGACTATGGACCCCGATGTTCTTGTCTTTTGGTTCCAGGTCGCCGTCTTTTAACCTGTAACGTCATTTCAATGGACCCTATAAGCCCTAAACCCCCGAAACCGTGGCGACCACACTGTGGCGGGGGAACCCTCATCCCTAAAGCGTAACTCCCGAGATTGCTTCGAGGTCACAGCTGAGTGATGTTGAAGGTAGCTTTTAAACAACACAGGTCGGTTTAGGGTTCAGGGTGAGGGTGTTTGGGGTAAGCCTGCAGCGGCATGGAATGGCTTGTCTGTTTGGGCGTTTGTGTTGCAGGGGTAGGGTTCTGTTTGGCGCGTTTAGCTCTACGGTGCTTCCAGCTACAGACTAGGTATTTCCGGGATGGGGTTTGGCGAGTTGAGGTTTGTTAGTGAGTTAGTGCTTTCGAGGTCAACGTCGATCCGATTCGGTTGAAGGTAAACTCCTTTCCGCAGTCAAAAATCGAAGACAGAGAGGCCCGTCCCGTAAGGTCAGGGACATTACACCCCACGCCCACGCCCCAACCCTACAGCCTTTGCAGCCCTATAATGGTTGTTCCCAGTGACATGACGAAGACCTAAAATTGGAGGTTCTAAATGGAGTTAGTGTTCCTTCAAATTTCATTTAAGCTCTCCCACGAAACAAATCTACGGGTGGGGGTGGGAGTAGTTAGTAGGCGTTCCTCTTATCGTCGCGGTCTCTCTCTCTCTATACATATTTGCACACATGCATATCTACATACACCTACATACATGCATACATATAACTTGGTATCGTGGTATACCCCCAAAACCCAAAACCATATTCCAATTATGAAGGTCCCCGTCGCCTTAACCCGCATGCACCAGCCCTAAGCGTCCATGTATCCGAATAGTATATATGTACCCAAATAGTATATATTATTATGTTTATATATGTATACATATTTGTATATATATATATATTTGTATGTGTATATATAT